AGTTGTTGTGTGTCTGTGCAGCTCACAAAACTGTTTTAACAGTGACTAAATCCAGTAAGCCCTCCCATCTCAACCGCCTCTCAAAAAACTGGTGGATTCTTTGATTTGCCATCTTCTGACATGTCTAATACAACCACCTCCTGCCTTTGGCTGAAGTCAGTCCTCCCCGACAGACAGATCCTTGTTTCACACTGAAACAACAACTGCACCATTTTTATTTTGTAGCACCTTTTAGGAAGGTTAGCCACAATATACTGAGATTCTTTGGTAAAGTAGGATCCATTGGCCAAGGTTCACCTCTACTTCTCAATCCTAAGATTTCTTCATACAAACTGTTTCGTTAATTATTCTAAATTGAGGCCTCAGCCCTACACAAAGAACTACAGCAGCTAAGGAAAGCTGGGGTGGGAGAGGTGGTTCTCCCCAGGGAAGAGCTCACCAAGTAGTGCCATCCGTGCCTAATGGTCATCCGTGAAAATATGCACACAAGCGAAATTATATAGACCCAACAGGTTATATTTAGGAGCATGTATGTATCTACAAATACATATAAGATTGTAATTCAATAACAATTGCTGAAAAAAAGAGGTCATGGAATTTGAAGTTGAGGGGGGAAGGCATAAAAGAGGGTTTTGAAGGAGGCAAGGGGAGGGGGAAATATTATAATTAAATTATAATCTCAAAAAATTAAAGTAGAAATATATATATTTATATGTATGTATTCTAAAGCTGGATGTGGGAGTACACATCTATCATCTCAATACACATATGCGCCACGGGTATGGAAACCTATGACTGTATATTAAGTGGAAATGAAGACAGGGTAGGTTAGCATCAAACACTAGAGCTGAAAACAGAAAAAAAACATAAAGGAAAGATAGCTTGAGTTAATTATATTAATCAGTTGTGTGTTTGTTTCTTGTTACCAGATCAATCTTTGATTCCAGTTTCTCTAGAATCTTGGTCTTTCTTTTTATTTATTTATTTATTTATTTATTTATTTATTAAAGATTTCTGTCTCTTCCCTGCCACCGCCTCCCATTTCCCTCTCCCTCCCCCAGTCAAGTCCCCCTCCCTCGTCAGCCCAAAGAGCAATCAGGGTTCCCTGCCCTGTGGGAAGTCCAAGGACCACCCACCTCCATCCAGGTCTAGTAAGGTGAGCATCCAAACTGCCTAAGCTCCCACAAAGCCAGTACGTGCAGTAGGATCAAAACCCAGTGCCATTTGGCCTTTCTATGATAGAAAACACTACATCAATGGAAAGGCATGAGTCATGCACAGCCACACAAGCACACACATGTACACACAGTGTCATGGACGCTGGGTATGTGCCAACTTTATCATGACTTTGACTTGCCCTCCAGAGGGAAAGTTGTACCGGGTGGAGGGAGAGCCAGGTGACTTGTACTGCGCTGAGTTCTCCGCTGCCGAATGTAGGAGAAGCAGCAAGCCTGGATGTGGAAACCAAAGCCAATGCACTGGAGCATATTTTTCTTTCAAAATATTTTATGTACTGAAGTTTGCACAACATCTTGGCAATGAAGGCATGTCTGTGAAGGAGGTGTCTTGTGTTTCACAGCTAACATAAGGGCAGAAAATGTGACAGCAGCTAAATGTGACTTCAATCACAAACTGAAAGAACATGCAAGAGTGCCGTGGTGAGGTCTATGAGCTACAAGTTCAAAGGTGAAAAGTCTACAACATTCCAGAAGAACATGTCTCTCCCTCTTCCCACCACACCAGGGCATGTCTCTCTACCCCAGCACTAGCTTAGGATTTGGAGAACACTTGAGACTCTAGGGAAAAGGGTCCCAGAATATTTTTGGTATTGTCTAGGAATGAAACTAAATTTAGAACAGTCCATCTGTTCGATTAGCGAGAAAAAGAGCTGCATTTCCTTGGCGTGCACATCCTTTATAAATCTCGGGGATGGGTGCTGTTCCAGATCTCTCTGGAAATTATTTTGAAGCTCACCAGTTCTGCCAGCACCAAACACGCTGTCCATCTCTTTTCTTTTGCTTTTTCTTAATCATATTTTATTCATTCTTTGAAAGTTGCATACATTAATGCAGGGTAGTTTGTTCCTATCTATCAACCACTTCCTTCCAGCTTCCCTTAGTGCCCCCCGTCCCTCGCCCCAAACTTCATGTTTTCCTTTTTTGTGCTATTAATAAGACTCTGAGTCCAATTAGAACTGCCCATTGTTCATGGGTGAGGGACCATGCACTGGGGCATGGACCACATTCCAGTATACACTGTAAGCTCATGTGTAAGCGGAGGGTGCATGCATAGGTGTCCCCTCTGGTTAAGACTGAACTCTGCATCTCTGGTAAGGTTGTCACAGAACACCTTTCAGTGGCCTGTGAGGCCTGACTTGTTTGCTTGAAAAGTAAAAGATGAAAATAAAAATGCACTCTTGAAATCTCATTAGGAGCCAAGAGTGGCCATCGTGGTTGGCCTTCCTGGGAGCCAGTCTTTTGACTGTACCCTCTTGTTCTCACAGGGACTCTGCGATGTCACCACCTCAGTACCATCATCATTGTCCCTGTTTCCATTCTACAGATGAGGAAAGCTAATTCACTTCTGCCGGAACTTGTACCTAATAAACGCCAGAACCAGGGCCTGGACTGGCATGGTCATTCCCTAGAGCTCCTTTCTAGTCCCCGGTAAAGCCGTTGAAAGAGATCAAAAAGTCTTTTAGATTTTTCTACCTGATTGTCAATCATTTCCTTTAAACATGAAATATTTTCTCTCAAAACCTTGCATAAAAATTCAGTTTATGTCTTAGAAAAGATTGTTTGGGTTGAAATAGTGCGGAGGTCTAACGGCTGCTTCCCGGGCAATCTCTCTCAGCTCAGCTCCTTCCACTGTCAGTCCCAAGGCTCTGAAACTCCTCAGCTGTCTCTTTCTTCCCACCGCAGGCTCTGCTTCCCTCTCTGAGGAGCCCCGAAGGTTCAGCCCCACCCGCACCCCCCACCTCCACCCCTGCGTATTTCCTCCTCTGCTTTCCTCCCAAGACATTTGACTCCCAGATCTCCCTCTGTGTCCCTATGCCAGGGACATTCCTAGTGGCTTGAAAGACACACTACGGGAGAAAGGGACTCCCAAGGGCCATAAAAATTTAAAATGGAAAGCGGGCCACATCATACACAAGATTACCATTTGGTACATGTCTCACACAAAGTTCTTTCTTCGGTGTCTACTGACTGCAGTTGAGAGGCAGCATTCTCAGTCCAGCTGACCTGGCTTCAAACCTTCCTCCACTCTCGCCCTTGCAACTCCAGGGTCTCCCTCAGCTCAGATATCTCATTTTCAAAATTGAGATGAAAACACAGTTCTTCCTGGTTTTGGGGGAGGATTGGATAAATGTCAGAAAACCCTGAATGCTGCGACTGTCCTATGTGTTAAGTTTGGGCATGTGGTTGTCCATATTATTCTAGATACTTTGCTGTTGAGGCAGCTGTTAGAACCATGTTTCCTATTGCACTGTATTTCAGAATGGCAGCTTTTCTACTCCTTTAGTGCTTAGCGGCTAACATTTTTAAAAATGAAATAAAGGAGAAGCTAATTCACTCTAGGACTCAGACTTCGTGACCGTCCCTGTTCTTGTCTGCTGTAAGCACATGCTGTCCAGCAGGGGAGGAAAGGTTGGATTGGCCTCTAAGGCACCGTAAACATGAGCTGGCATATACGCAAAGTGACCCACCTCCCAGAACCCTGTCATCTATGGATAAGGATTTTTGATGTTGTGCTTCTTTTACATAACCTAATTTTTTTATTTTATAATGTTTTCTTTGTTGTGGTTTGTATTTTATTCTTTGAGGCTCAGTCTCCTGAATGCCAGACTGGCCTCAAACTCAATATATCAGAGGATGACTTTGACCCATGGTCCCCTTACCACTACCTTCTGAGAGCTGGGATTACAAGAATATGGCATTATGCTTGGTTGAATTTATAATTCCTGACCTTTGTACTTATGAGCATCTTCCAACCCTTGGTTAGATATGGACCTCCAAGGGGACTATGATTTCTAGTTTCCTTGGAACCCTACTAGCACAGAGTTCTGTTGATATGGGAGTCCCCTCTGTGTGCTGTGGTTACACAAAGTTACAGCATGTCTGACTCTGGCGATGGCTCCATGGCGTCTCTCTGACTCCATCCTCCTTTCTCCCAGCATTCAGCCTAGCTTTCCCTGCCTACCTAAATTCTGCCTTATCAACAGGCCATGGCAGTTTCTTTATTCATTAATGGCAATCACAGCACACAGGAGACTCCCACATCATCTCTGTGATTATTTTGGGGCTGAGCAGTCGGGAACTAACTAGCGGCTTCCTCCAACAACTTCACTGGGAAACGATAATATTTCACAGGGTTGAGCTCTGTTTCCTGCAGGGTGCTAATTTACCAATGGTGAAAAACTAGTAGAGTCCTCAGATCAGCGTGGTGATTCACTGGTATCCAGTGTTGCCTGGTATGTGCCATGACTCTCCTCGCCGTTGCCAGTGAATAGGGTGTCCCCTTATCATAAACTGACACTAAATTCCTGAGTCTCTGAGTAAAAAGACGCATGCCTCATGTGCAGAATGGCTATTCAGCTTTTAAACACAGAGTTGGGAACCATTTTTATTATAGGACCAGGAACAGCAAATGCACACGGGCTCTAGAAATGGCTTTTACTTCTGAGCTGTTGAGCGCATCACTGTATGTTCCCATAGTAGTTTTCTTTGAAGTTTCATGAACACCTCCTGGAATGAGGAGACTCTGCCCTAAGAGTCAGATGGGAGTTTATCCAGTGCCCACCCTTCACCTATCTGCTCTGTTTTCTACGTTAGGAAACGATTTTTTCTGTGTTTCAAAAGCCATTCTACAGATATCCAGCCCATTAACCAAACTTGTTCTCCAGCAGGGTGAAAATGTTTGCCATCTAAGCTTCACATCTCTGTGCTCCTTGTGTCTTATTTAACTCACAGTAGCTCCCCCTTCTCCTTTCTCTTCTGCAGGATCAACACACTGTGGTAGGCCAGAACACAGGCCCCAGTCCAAGTCCCAACTCCTGCTCGAATCCAAACACGGCAAGTGGTTTCATGAACTCCCAGCAGTCTCTGCTGAATCAGCAAATGATGGGGAAGAAACAGACCCTGCACAGGCCAGCCATGGAGCCCAAGCAACAGCTCCTCCTCCAGCAGCAGATGCTGGCTGATTCGGTAAAGCTACCTTCTAGCTTCTCTGTGTGACTTCTTGACCTTGGAGATGTGACAGGTCCCTTTGCCCTTCTGTGTCTCCCTGTGTTCTCCACTTAAGCGACAGTAATGAGGGTGTAGCGGTTGCAAGATAAACTAAATCCCGTGAATTTAAAATGCAAAGGAGAAAACAAACAAACAAAAACAAAAAACCAACCCTGATTTGCCAGCTGCTAGGCCTGTGGAATACCAGTCCCCTTGATGACCAGCCCTGCCCAGTTCAGGAATGCCTGTGGCCAGCAGGGCCTTTGAATGGAGTGAATAAAATCTCAGTTGTTCCCAGCCTAGAGGGCTGGAAAGAGTGAACTGTACCTTAATCATCCCAACTCCAAACTGGTATTTAGAGGTGAATGAGCTTTAAAGGGAATTTTTAAAGGCTAGCAGGAGTTTCACCCCCAAGATTTGGCTTCCCAAAAAACAAAGCATCTCAGAATGGGGAACCATTTTTAAAAAGACATTTTAAATAATTGTCCACGTTCACCATATTGACCCAACCTTTTAAGAAGCACAAGGTTGTTTCCCTAAACACCAGCCAAGCTCTAACCTCGCTTCAGTATCTTATCTACCCACTCCTCAGTAGCCTCAGACAGCACCATCCACATCTGACCCAAACTCCACAGCTGAAGACTGCCACGCCCTCTCCTTTCAAACTTTCCAGCCCAGTGAAACCAAAAGGGACAAAGCCAAACAGTTCAGAGCTAATAGACCCAAGGAGAAGGAATGAGGACATGAGATGCAGCTCAGTTGCAGAGTGTAAGCCCAGCATGCATTAGGTTCTGGGTTTGACTGCAAGATGAGAAAAGCCAATCAAATCATTTTATACTCAAAAACATTTTAAAAGCAGCCAGAAAGGTAAAGTATTAAAAACTCCATTAATATTCAATAAATATGGAAAGATCATAAAAATATAAGCCACAAACAAGATAGTTTCTTTCCCCCTTGTTGCCCTAATAGAGCTCAATATCCACTGTGGGCATCAAATAAATAAGCTATTGTAATGCATATGCTTAAATGGTATGCTGTAGAGAAATTTCTACAGAGAGAGGCTACTAAAGATCAGAAGGTGCAGAGAGAGTTGGGAGGGAGGAGAGGAGGAAGAGTGGGGTGGTAGTGGGAGGGTCATCCTGCCCCAGAGATCCAGCACTCAAGACTCAGGTACACAAAGGACCCACACACTGTCAAGGCATAGAGCATGGTCAAGGATGGAGAAGTTGAGGACGCAGAGGCCAGAGGAAGAGGCTGGCTAAGTCACACTGCCTGAAAGGCAGCAGCAGAAAGAAGAAGAGGAGGAGGAGGAGGAGGAGGAGGAAGAGGAGGAGGAGGAGGAGGAGGAGGAGGAGGAGGAGGAACACTGTGTTCAGATTTGCAACCAACTAAAAGATAAAGGCCAATAGGAGAGCTCCAATGTGGAAATCATCTCCCAAAATGAGTTAAAATTTGGCTTTGACATGGTAAGACTACAGTATTCTGATAGAAAATGTGGAGTCCACCATTTTAGGAAGAGGGATGGTCAAAGACGAAAGCGGCAGTCCTGGATTGTATTTACTGGTTAGTTTCAGATAAACAATATAGCAGCCACCGGTGTCTTTAAAGAAATGACAAGTGTCAGTGAGCACTTATGCTACAGGTGTCTGAGATCTGTGGTCCCAACTGTTTCTTCCGCCTGTCTTTTTCCTTTACAACCTGAATAGCCTAGAAACAAGAGTGAAGAGGAGAGAATGCACCGTTTCAAACAAACTTACTGGCAAGATTTCTATTATTCCCATTGACACTGTAAATTTGATTAGTTTTACAAGATGGAGCTTCCGGGTTTTCTGCTTCTGTTAAAAGCCTCTGGTTAAAAGTGACACGCACATTCTTGGGGGCCTGACCATGGTGCTGGCCAGTCTCATGGGACAGGTGCAAAGGGCAGTGGAGAGATGAATGGGAACGGAGCTGCACTTTCCGTGGTTCTTACAAAGCATTCACACTTCTCTTTGTCGAGATGCCATCCAGGCTGCCCGTGCTCTTTAGCATAGCCAGGAAGAAGCCGCCTTTGGTGCCTCTTTCCATTAGCATACGCTTTGTAGCCATTGAAGGCCTTGGCAAAGCCAGATGGGCACCTAAATAGAGGCATTTTTTTCATAAAATTTTGTTTCTCTCCACCCTTCTCCCAAAGTGACACACACAAAAGGCGAGATGAGTAGTGGTTATTACCCTGACCGTCATTGCTGACTCGTGTTATACACCTCCTGTGTGCCAGGCACCATGCCGAGGTTTTGCAGAACTAAAGGACTCATCCTTGTATGGGGAGTATGAAAGAGATCCTAGAACCTCCCTCCCAAATCTTGCATTTTTATGGCTAAGGAAACCAAAGCAAGACAGATACCACTGAAACAAGAGAGGCCGGGCCACGATGAAAGCTCATTCCATTTTACACAGAGCTGATTTCAATGACCGTGTGAGTTTACCCGAGAGCCTCACTGTAGCTTCCGCCATTTAGTGTTGGCGTCCAAACTTCACTGGTCTTGTAGCATGCCAACATAGCCTCTGCTGTATCTACAGGCAACATAGAGTATTAGGAAACTCGGGGTTTCAGAGATGTATATGCTAAAGCTATGAGCATATACTGGTCTGTGGGAGAGAGAAAAGCCCAACTGCTTAAGATGAAATAAATCTGGGTTTGAAATAAAGTGTGTGACTGGGAGTAAAGGAACAAATTGTTACACACACATGTACACACACATGCATACACGCACGCACATAAACACACGCACACGCACGCAGGTACTATCATACAAACAGTAGTAACACCTAATTATATATGAAATATGCTTCTTGGAAAAAAGATTTCACAAAGTCCTGTTCTTGGCTTAACAATCAAAACTGTCAGTTCACACAAGTGTTTACAACAGGGTTGCTTGCTCACTACCACACTGGGTTGGTGGAAGACCCTAGGCTCTTTCTTAAACAATCAGGGTTTTGCAACTCCCCCCCCACACACACACACAAATAGTTTCCCTTACTTTGTAAACCCATGTTTAAAAGAAATGTAATCCATCTGTTTCTGATTCATTTATGCTTAGCTCATCAAAATTATGTTTTATATGAATTACTTGGTGTTCAAAAACATTCTATGAGTTTTTAAAGTTTGGTTTTTTTCTTAGAAACAAAAAATGAAATTGGTTTGTTGTTATTTTAAGGTCCTCTCCTGTCCGTTTCAGAGAACACGCATCCCACTAGGAAATCTCAAAGCTGAGTACAAGCAGTGAGGTTGAGGGGAGCAGATGCACACTTGGCTCCAGCTAATGGCCTCATCTGTCTGTTACGGTTGTCTGTGTATTGACTTTCCTATAATTACAGTCTTCTGTCTCTACCTATGCCAATTATTCTTATCTTTAGAAATGGATATTGCTTTACAGTGTATTCGGAATTGCACTGAAGCCATTCCAGAAAGTTTCCAAAGCACACCAAGAAAGAAAGAAAAAAGCAGGAATCCCTATCTCAAGCTGTTAGGAGAGGCATCTTGTTCTTTGTATAACATAAAGTCTTAACACAGGTCAACTCAGACAGGGTTGTTCTGGTGTCATGATAAACCAAGAGCAGATAGGCCACTTGGTCGTTTTATCTAAAAACAAACAAGGTCACAATGTGACCTCTCCAGCTAGCACATCCTAGCTACTCTCCAATCAATCTAGGACAGTGCTCCACTTCCCTATGTCCCCCAGGCTCTCTCAGCACTCCTGAGACAGCAGTGACTCCTCATTGCTCCTCGCCACTGTGAGTAAGGATGGCGGTCGGTCAAGGCATTGGCAGCAGTAAACGGCATCCCCGTTTCCTCTCTTACCACCCAAACTCACGCACTGAAAGAATCTGAAGGTGATTTTCAAACAGGATCCTGAGAGGCATGAAGGGCCCTGAGTTCCTGACTCTGGAGCTGGTATCTGCTGCATGGCTGTGGGCTCTGGGCGGGAAAGTTACTTAGCTAATGAACTTGCGTGTCCTCTTTTGAATGAAAACAAGCAGCGCTCCCTTCAAAGGTTTGCTAAGAGCAGGTAGGAGAGACGTCTCGTGCACATGGTGCCCACACCAGTACCCGGAAGGTTAGCAAGTCTCTTGACACCTCTTCCGAGGAGAGGTCGCCGGATGAAATCATTGAAAGCCAGGTGTGCTCCATTTTACCTGGCAAACCTTTCTCCAAAGTCTATGACACCAAAGCTCATCACACATGCAACACCTAAGACAGGAAGTACCACCCTGAGCCCACATAATTGAACCCCGTAGTTGAAGTCTAACTACAAAATGAAGAAATGAACATGCTCAGTAGACACAAAGCAGAAATCTGTGGAGGAGGAGAAGAAATGAATGGCACTTCCGTAGAGGAAGTGATTCAAACGGAAAGATCTGTCTCTGAATTGACACTAACAGATAAATCTTTTTTTATTTATTTATTAAAGATTTCTGCCTCCTCCCCACCACCACCTCCCATGTCCCTCCCCCTCCCCCAATCAAGTCCCCCTCCCTTATTAGCCCAAAGAGCAATCAAGTTTCCCTGCCCTGTGGGAAGTCCAAGGCCACCCACCTCCATCCAGGTCTAGTAAGGTGAGCAGGTCTAGTAAGGTGAGCATCCAAACTGCCTAGGCTCCCACAAAGCCAGTTCGTGCAGTAGGATCAAAAACCCATTGCCATTGTTCTTGAGTTCTCAGTAGTCCTCCTTGTCCGCTATGTTCAGAGAGATCAGTTTTGACCCAGGCTTTTTCAGACCCAGGCCAGCTGGCCTTGGTGAGTTCCCGATAGAACATCCCCATTGTCTCAGTGTGTGGGTACACCCCTCACGGTCCTGAGTTCCTTGCTCGTGGTCTCTCTCCTGCTCCTGATTTGGACCTGTCGGTGCTCCTATGTGGGTCTCTGTCTCTGTCTCCTTTCATCGCCTGATGAAGGTTAATATTCAGGAGGATGCCTATATGTTTTTCTTTGGTTTCTCCTTATTTAGCTTCTCTAGGATCACTAATTATAGGCTCAATGTCCTTTGTTTATGGCTAGAACCAAATATGAATCTTAATCCAAACCCACAGTGCAAAATAGTTTTGTTTGTAAGATGCAAGTTCCCACTCTATAGCCCATGCTGGCTTCAAGCTTGTGATCCTTTCTGCCTTTGCCTCCCAAGGGCTGGGATTTCAGACATGCACCACCACGCACAGGCTAAATTCTTCTTGTATTTGTACCCTTTTGAACATTGTACAGACTTTTGTAACTGAAGAAATGCTCACTCAATTCAATGTTTTCATTTGTGTTTTCAAGGAGAAACTTTCCCCTCAGGATCAGATGAACCGACACCTGACAAGACCACCCCCGGACTACAAAGACCAAAGAAGAAACTCGGGAAGTTTGCAGCCAGCCACTCAGTATTCTGGTGAGAGTTCTTCGAAATGGATATAAATCATAGCTTGGGGGGGGGGGACCTATTTAAAACCTATTCCATTTCTCTTGCTTTCTCCCTCACCTTGGATAACACATCTGCTCCACCCTTTTGCTGTCTCCCACTGAACCATCAGACACAGATCACACGGAGAACTCGGCCTGGTGGCTCACACTATAATCCCAGCACTCGGAGGAGGAGGAACGCTGGGACTTCCAGTCCAGCCTGTGCTACATAGTAAACTCCAGGCTAGCCCAGATTAGAGTGTGAGATTCTGTCTTCATCCCTTTACCCTCAGAAAGACCACACTTCGTCCATTCATGAGTTCTCGCTTGTCCATGTCCTGTGCTCATGTGTCCACTGTTCTCTGTGTCTGTGCTCAGTGTCCACTACTCTCCGTGTCTGTGCTCACGTGTCCACTACTCTCCGTGTCTGTGCTCACGTGTCCACTACTCTCCATGTCTGTGTTCACGTGTCCACTATTCCCCGTGTCTGTGCTCACGTGTTCACTACTCTCCATGTCTGTGTTCACGTGTTCACTATTCCCCGTGTCTGTGCTCACGTGTCCACTGTTCTCCGTGTCTGTGCTCACGTGTCCACTACTCTCCGTGTCTGTGCTCACGTGTCCACTACTCTCCATGTCTGTGTTCACGTGTCCACTATTCCCCGTGTCTGTGCTCACGTGTTCACTACTCTCCATGTCTGTGTTCACGTGTTCACTATTCCCCGTGTCTGTGCTCACGTGTCCACTGTTCTCCGTGTCTGTGCTCACGTGTCCACTACTCTCCGTGTCTGTGCTCACGTGTCCACTACTCTCCGTGTCTGTGCTCACGTGTCCACTACTCTCCATGTCTGTGTTCACGTGTCCACTATTCCCCGTGTCTGTGCTCACGTGTTCACTACTCTCCATGTCTGTGTTCACGTGTTCACTATTCCCCGTGTCTGTGCTCACGTGTCCACTGTTCTCCGTGTCTGTGCTCACGTGTTCACTACTCTCCATGTCTGTGCTCACGTGTCCACTACTCTCCGTGTCTGTGCTCACGTGTCCACTACTCTCCATGTCTGTATCCACATGTTCACTGTTCTCTGTGTCTGTGTTCATGTGTCCACTACTCCCCCAATTATTTGTGAGAATTTAAAATCCTGAAGGTTTTCTAACTCCTGTAGGTTCACTCCTCCTCCTCCTCATGTTGACCGTGACCCAGGCAGAATAAAGTTAGGTAGAAAGAGCTCCTTTCCGGAATACCACCTGGAACTTGCATAAAACCTCATCTTTCCTCAATCTCCCTCGGAACTTGTCCCCTCCAAGTATTCTCCACGAGAGACAAATCACCCTGTCAAGAAGAAAAATTAAAAAGCAAATTGCATTTTTATAAAGAAAAGGAAGGTTTGTATTTCTGTTCAAGTCACAAATCAGAACTTTTTACTTACTCTCTTTCTCATGAATAGGACAGGTACTTAAGGTAAAAAAAAAAATCTCTCTTCAGAAGTTCTCTGAACCCCAAAGAACCTTCCCCAAACCCGGCCCATGCTCTTCCTGCTCCCTTCTTTCCAGCAACTACTCCAGTCCCTGCTGTGGAGAACTCTGATTTCTCTTGCTACATTAAGTTAGTCTCTTCAGTTTCTCAACTTTTTTTTTCTTTCCATGTCTCCATCTGTCCAAGAACTCATCAAGAATATTCTCCAGACAGCAAGAGGCTGTGGGCACTCCTATTGCCACCTCCTGTCCTGTTGCAGATACGCTAAATAAGTTTCCATAATTCTTTCAAATGTCTGAAAATGCAGCAGCTTGTCTCTCTCCACTGAGATTTGAGATGATTTTGTTTAAATGCAAGGACTGAGTTCTCAGTTCGGTTGTGCTCAGAAACAGTGTAGCTCTGCCGTGGAGCTTGGCCTCATGGGCAAACAACAGGCTTTAGAGAACCTGCGAGACTTGAAACAGTATACAAGTTTTTAGGTAGGTGTTTAAGGTTTCTTTTCCCACTACTGTAAAAGAATCTCTCAGATGGGAGTCCAGAACTGAGAGCTATCTCCACAGTGTCGCCAGAGGCCAGCTTCTTCTGCTTCCTTAGCTTGTGGTTCCCATCCTAAGGGCTGCCCTGTAGCCACCACATCAGGAAGTTGTGTGTCCATTTTGCAGGCAGGGAGAGGAAAGGTGGAAAGGAGGGGAGCCTCCTGCAGGAGCCACACCCCCTTGTAAAGCAGTCTTCAAGGACTCCTGCCAGCTCTTTTTCACGGAGGCAGAATGTATTCTTGTGGGCTTTCCAGCAGCAGGAAAGCTCAGGGTGTGTGCTTTCTCACACAAACGCACTGCAGTACACATCAACACTGAGTCTCAGAGGGAGACTGCGATGGGCAAGGACACCCACCCAATAGCTCCTTCCAAATAAAACGTGTGCATTTCCTGCGAAAAGTCTTTGCATGCCGCTGCCAACCCCAAGTGGGCAAGAGTCCCCTCTGGGACATTTTACATCATGTACCTTCTGAGACTAAAACAAGCAACAACAAAACAAAACAAACTCTTTCCTATTGCTTTAAATTTTAACATCAGTCCAGAAATAATTCTTTTGGTGGAGACAGAGATTGAGTCCAGGGTCTTGCTTGTGTTCGGCATGTGTTTCCCCCATTGAGTTGCACCTCCAACTTGGAAACTTCTTATACTCATTGCACAGTAGAGAAAGAGACTCCTCCTGCCCTGGGGGTCTAGTTGAGGAGAAAAGCAGAGTAGAGGGAAGCTACAGTGGCTTGGCCTTGTCTTTCGGGTTATACATCAAACCAGCAGGGAATCCTAAGCAGTCACCTGTGGGCATTCTCTTCACACAGCTCCTAGTTCATCGCTGTGTGCGTGGCTCTGTTTCAGTGTCTTTGCAAGGGTAATTTCTCTGGGTTTCATCCTTCCTTCTGTCTCCTTTATTATTATTATATCATTCAAAATTCAATTGTGCACCAACCCTGTCAGCACTAGACCTAGAATGCGGCCTGCAAACCAAACAAGAGGAAATGCCTACCTTGTGCAATTTGCCATCTCTGGTAGCTTTTTCCTCCAGCTTTGCCCTGCAAGCTGACTTCTCAGGGTGACTTCAACCTTAGCAAGCCAGGAATATTTCAGTGCATCTGTTAGTCACTGTCTGTTGTATGGAGCCACCTTGTCCAGCATCCTGGCATCCAGATCTGGCCCCCATTCAATCAATTGTTGACAGTTTACCTGGCAGCCCCTCTGAGGCTTGGTGCATTGCCCCAGTGCTCCAGGAAAGAATCAAACCGAAAGTGGCATCCAAAGAAATGAGACTAGGATATTAGGGAAATCTCCAAATAAGAGCTTCAGGCTTGGTCTGAACATGAAGAAAATATAAGGATTGGGGGGCTAGGGGACATCATGGGACAGGAGACTGGTGAGCAAGGGTGGCTGGTGGGGTGTTCAGTAGCAGTGCAGTAATAACTTCTCAGACGGAAATGATCGCCAGGGCACAAGTACATCAGATTCCAGATGCTTAGAGATGAGATTTAGTTTGCCTTCTGGATGCAGGAAAGCCACTCATAGCAGCTTCTTGAATAAGGATGATGCACATAAAGAATTAGACACGATTTTCCAGGTCACAGGTTAGGAGTATTAGTGTAGTAGCCACGAATAGGATTTACCCCCACATGCACTTGCTCATTTGAACCCTGGGGTGAAGAATGGCCTGGATTTCATGATAGCTAGTAATCAAAATTGTGGTCTTCTCACTTGGAACATAATTAAAGTAATTCGGAATGAAAGATTATCACTTCAATGACTTCAGAAGGCAAATAAAATAAAACTATAAAATAGAAACATTCAATCTCAGTCTTCTTTCTGTAGTGTGTAAGTGACCCAGGAAGATGCTCTCCCAGATCTCATCTGTTCCTTCTATGCACTATACGTCATATGGTATTTAGTAACCAATAAGTTCTTGTCGGCTGCAGTAAGGGGGCACTGTCATAGCATGAATGAGTGTAATTCTCGTCTCTGTCTTAGGTGGCGCATCTACGGTGAATATAAACTCTAACCAGACTTTGACAAACCCGGTCTCCACACACACCCTTCTGACGCCAAACTCCAGCCTCATGTCGTCGACGTCACATGGGATGAGAGTGCCACTGTTGTCCACAGCAGTTCAGAGCATGGGAGTGTATGGAAACCTGCCTTGTACCCAGCCCGGCACCTACGTCACTCCAGCAATGAATCAGCTGACCCAACAGAGAAACACGACTCCACTGATAACCAATCAGAACAACCCCCTGATGTCACGGCCATCTCCCTTAGGGGCAAATAACGGTAACAGTGTGGCCACCTTTGCAGCCGGAGCTGTTGGCAGTTCACAACAACTGAGGCCAAGTTTGCCCCACAGTTTAGCAGGCATACCAGCCCAGAGGTCATCCACCGTCATGATCTCATCCAACACAACAGCAACAAACTGGGCTTCTCAAGATGTAACAGCGAAACAACAGGAAGCCCTCAAATCCACAGGAGTCCGCTTCCCAACAGGAGGTACACCTGCAGCCTATACCCCAAACCAGTCCTTGCAAGCAGGAGTGGGGAACCAGTCATTTTCCCAGAGGGCAGTGGTGCCCCCTAGCCAATTAACGCCAGCAGTACAAATGAGACCTATGAACCAAATGAATCAGGCACTAAATGGGCAAACTCTGGGTCCACTCAGGGGTTTGAACCTCAGACCTAACCAGCTGAGCTCGCAGAGTCTGCCTAATATGAATCCGTCAGGCACAGGATTGAATCAGGCACGGACAGGCACCAGCCAGCCACCATCCCTGACGCCCAACACTTTTCCTTCATCCAACCAAAGTTCCAGGGCTTTTCAAGGCACTGACCATAGCAGCGATTTAGCTTTTGACTTTCTCAGTCAACAGACTGACAGCATGGGCCCTGCCCTAAATAGTGATGCTGATTTCATCGACTCTTTATTGAAGACAGAGCCTGGCAATGACGACTGGATGAAAGACATCAACCTTGATGAGATCCTGGGGAGCAATTCCTAAGAGAAAAGGAAGGTGGTGCGGTTCGCAGGCTCCAGGCAGTATCAGCCAAGGACCCTGTAATGCACCCGAGTGAACTCAGGCATCCTAACGGAAAGCTGACAGTAACCACGGTGATGAACACTCTGGTTCATTCTTGTTTCAAAAATCCCGAGCCTGATATTAAAACATTAGGATGGCTTTTCCCTGCCTGAGCGTCAGGACACGATGTCCAGTTTATCCAAACACAACTGTGATGTTGGTGTGTAGTTAATTATGTCAAACGGTCTTCCCAAGTTCCTTTTCTCGGTGAAGGAAACACAGAGGAACTTGAGACTTGTTTCAATCCCGTATGGCAGACAGGGGTTAGTTCTAAGCAACAGGCAGTAGACTGCCATCTGCTCTGGTAGATAAGGACGCTTAGGTTTCTCCACTGTCTTTTCTTTTACTTATCCTAAAACTTGCAGAAAAGATTGACATGTTATATGGTTGTTTGGAGTAACTAAGAGAGCACCAGAGAACCAAGAAGCCATCCAGCAGATTAGATGATTTCTTCCCTAGCTGCGGTCCTCATTTTGTAGTTTTCCCACGTGTTTTGTATTTTGGTGGGATGCTGTGTCTTGTGATAAAACAGGAATGCAGGACTTACAGCTTGCATGGGGCTTCCCTGCTGATTTTTATAGGTAACCAAGACTTGTCCCATCACCCCAAAGTGTCAGTGCACAACTGCCTACATCAAATTTCACTTAAAAAATTGAATTTTGCCATGTAGGAGACAAACATGGCCACAAGTAACCAGAGATGTTTCTAACTATGATTGAGGCCCACGGTTGTGCCCAAGCAGGATGAAATTGAGCCTTGACCTCCTATTTTTTGGTAGCCTGAGACTTGTTTGTAAGGAATGAAGGTTTGAATTGGAGTGAGATTAGAGCGTCCTCTTTGGATTGGAGATAGGGAACAGGAAGGAGAAGGGTATGAGGATTGGCACAGAGCCTTTTCACAGAGTGTAGAGGAAATCATAACTGAGACAACAGAGCCTTCCTTGGACATAGCACTTGGACTTGGTTGGACAGCTGAGCTCAGTGTAGGCTGTGCGTAGCCACTCTCCACGACACAGGGAAGTTTTGCCATATGCTGCCTGGGCCCTTCTTATCCAGCTTTTCTCCCTCAGGGCTGAGTTCTTTTGGGTCACGGGAGCCCAGTGTCCACATCTATGTCCACTGCAGAGTGGAGGAGGTGTACAGGTCAGAGATGGCTCTAAAATACTGCCACCACTAGCCTAAAGTCAGAGAATCGAAGGCTACCCGTGACCTTTGAGCTAGACAGTCACACACTTAAACATCAAGTGTGGTTTAACTCAAGTTGTTTGAGGCACCAAATCTTCACGAATCTGTCCAGAAAAGGAACACATTTTTTTAAAGCTCTGTATAGCCCTCTTCTAGACTTCACGATGCCTTTGGGCTCTCACCTCCCAATCCACTGCACCAATAGCGCTGGCCCAGAATCTTTCCCGTGCTGATTTGTAAATATTAATAAGTTACTTGTTTTTGTAAACTTTTGTAAAGAATATTTTGGTAGAAATACTTAAAACATATTCTTTGGATTATATTTATACATATGTGAAATAAATATGCTATCGAAAGGTTATATTTTATACAAAAAGTAAATTGTTACCTTTTGTATGCTAATATGCAAAGTTTTGTATAATACGATGGTTTATTTTTAGCTCTACACTTAAACCGTAGTGATGGAGTGGAAACTTTTAAAAACTACCAAGAGGCTTGCTAGATGAATTTATATTCTGAAACCTCCGTGAAAGCATTCCAGGTTTCCATCCCGCCCTGTCGTTGCCGTGTTTTCCAGCTCTCAATTCTTTATTAAGCCCATGGTTCTCGTGTCTTATTTGATTATTCTGCTGTGCATACTGTACCGGCCCTGTAGCATGTGTTCTGCTGTGTGTTTCCCCATTATACAAAACAATGTTTCTCCATGCAGAAAGAGAGGGAACACAGTGTGTATATAAACACGCATTTTTTTGTGGCTCCTTCAGATTACTGCACAGAGCTGCAGGATTTCCCAGTTGCAGCCCCGTGATTCAGCTTCTTCTTACCCTCACACAAACAGTGCAATTTGTAGCAGCTGTCCAGTTGTTCCACTGAAGAGGCAACGCAAACAGAATGGCTGGTTTTTCTTCTATCTTAATGTGAATTTCATAATTAGTGTGTATTTATTCAGCTATTCATTAAAATACAGGATTCTTTGGGGGGTGTAATCTACAGTTTCTGTTTGTGGGCAGCCTATTACCAAAGATGATGTAATTTCCCGAAAGCTGAGATAATGACAATTTGATAGACACACTTAGCAGAGCCTCAGATTTACAACGTAAGAGCCATTGGGACACAAACTCCCATTGATAGAAATGCCAGACTTCTTCATTGCTGACATTGCTTGTCATCCTGATACACAACAGAGAAGGCAGGAGTCATTTTTCTTTAAATTCAGAGACACAAAAGTAAAGTAGGAAAATAATTCCTTCTTGGCTTTGTGTTCAGCCCAATGAAATGAGTCACCAAGTGAGGTGCTGGTGTTGCCTGCATTGCCGTCCTGAACCAACAAATGTAAAGATCCAACTTGTAACACGAGTATTTTGTATTGTGTGTAATTTCATGTGTAAAAAAAAATAGTTAAAACATTCAGACGTGGTTTTCTTGTATGGAGTCCATATTGTCGGTCACCAATGTTATGGTTACAGTATTACAGTTAGGATAACCAATGTTAACAGCAACCGGTACATATGCACAAAATTATTATTTTTAAAGATTTATTTTGTGCTTTTTAATTATATGTATGTGTGGGTGCTGGTGCCTGCCAAGGCTGGAAGACGCCATGGAGATGGAGTCACAGGTTGATGTGGGACCTGAACCCAGGTCCTCCAGAAGGGCAGTGAGTACCAACCAGTCTTGTAGCTGCTGAGCCCTCTCACCAACCCCCAGGAAACCATGTTGTGCAGGGAGCTTTAGATAGGAGTAAAACGCACACTCATCTCTTTTCAGCGTTGCTCCGTTCACTTAAAAAGCTGGGATTCTATATGCTCGAAGTTTTCTGTGCAGGGCTAGGGAGATAGCTAGGTTTGCAAAGAGGCTATGGCAAGAGGGTGGACATTTCAGTCCTCAGCACTCACGTGAACATCCGGGAGTGGTGGTGTGCGCCACTGACACCAGTTCTCAGGAGGCAGAGACAGCCAATCTAGCTAAATTGGTGTGATCCAGGCCAGGGAGGGATCCTATCTTTCAAAAAATGGATAGGGAATATCTGAGGTCGTTGTCTGGATTACACACATGCACACACACACACACACACACATACCCACATACACATCGACATGTACACACATGCAAGTACATATACATGACTGTCAAGCACAAAAATAAAATGATAAAATGTTAAATGCATACCACCCACTAGGCACTGTGGTATTTGTATGGCCTGACACGTGGCATCTGGTCACAGACTGTATGAACACGGCGCAGGAAGCACACCTGATTGTGTATGTTTACACAGCCTTCTGCAGAGCCTCGGTACTCTCAGATCTCCTGGCCTCCTAATTATGTTGTTGAGGTCCATGTCCTTTTCCCTCGTCCAGAATGGACGTGTATGATACAGCTATTTTTACTAGCTTTATCAATGGAACCCTGGTAAAATGGATGTCTTATATGGTCCTGTCCCAAAGAATCTGGAAGATTGCATGGAGAACAAAATCAGCACCAATAAGAAATAATAATAAATGGGTGTAGTGGTGCACGTCCTTAATCCCAGCACTTGGGAGGCAGGTGGATCTCTGTGTGCTAGAGGCCAACCTGGTCTACAGTGAGTTGCAACACAAGTGAGGCCCCGCCTCTAAGAAGAGAAGAAAGAGTGGATAAAAACAGCATAGCTGAGGAGAAAGAAATACAGCATTGGGAACTTCCCTCCGACCCCAGTCTCTAGCCTTAGAACAGATCTGCAGAGAACGTGGGAGGGGGGTGGGAGCACAGACAGCAGACTCTTCCGTGATGGGGGCTAAAGGCAGAGACAGTTTTCATCATCTTATCCACACTGGCCATTGCATATGCACATGACTGTGTTTTGTCACCCAAGAAAGTTGGGGGAATGGTTGAGGTTGAAACAGAACATCCCTACTCCAGAACTCTGTGGCTGAATTTGATTTCACAGAACTGAAGGCGTTCACTGGAAAGTCTCAGGAGCATCCGCTTTAAGATGAAGAAATCAGTTGCTCCTCAACCTTTAGAAAATTTCAGATTGTTGATCAACTTCATGCACACAGTAAACATCTCGTTTAAAGCTGAATCATAAGCAAGAATGAATCACGAGGAGGCCAGATGGAGGCAGCAGACAAGAAGGGAGGCTGTGCTGATGCTCACACCCTGACCACGCCCCGAGGCATTTGTGAGAGGAGGCACCAGCTGTCCACTGTGCTATGAGATTACAGGATCTCCTAAAGGGAACCCGACTGCCAGGGCAGAGAGAAACTCTACTTTGTGTACCTGTCGGATTCCTGTCACTTTGACAAAAACACCCAGGGAAACAACTTAAGGAGGAAAGTGTTCACTTACAAGGTCAGAAGTGTCCATCTCTTAGGAGGGGGTGTGGGCAGCACAACTCAGTCAGCCGCCAAGATGCACAGGGGAGAGCACCCCGTCTGCTTTCCCCTTTCTCTCCTACTCCTCCCAAGTCCCAGGCATGAGGCTGAGTCTGTCTCCTTGTTCATCCCGTCTTGAACATCTTCACCCAGAAGTGAGCTTTGCTAATGTCCTGGGTGCTTCTCACTCCAGTCTCTGTGACATCACACATTTGTCAACTCCACTAGTTAAACACTGACAAATGTTTGTGAGTTACAAACAACTCAGTAAGAGAGTTCATTTTCTCTTCTCATCTACCCCATTCTGTTCCACCCTTACCTAAGTCTTGAACTCTCTAAGTAGAGAGGATAACCTTGACCTTTGAACTTTGACCTTTCTACTTCCACCTTGAAAATGCTCATTCACAGCATGTTCCACTATATACCTAGTTTTTCTCAGTGTTGGGGATTGAACCTTGAGCCTTGCATGTGCTAGACAAAGATTCTACCAACTGAGCTACATTTCCAGTCCTTTTTGGTTTTGATTTGAAAAAAAAAAATCCTTTAAGTATCATTCCTGAGTTCCTGACAGAGTGTGGATAGTACACTATAGCCAATCTGATTTGAAGTTGTGAGGTATCTAACACCCTGTACTACAAAAATTAAGAAAGCTTACTGAATTAAGAAACCACCTCGTGCCATCCCTGGTCTGCATGCAGCAGTGACAGGGGACTTCCATTTATACAAGTGGTATTTTAAGTTCCTCGTTTGACCAATGTAAGTGCTTTTCTGTGCCAAGATGTGTTGAATACATAGATGTATTTAATACTGATTCCAATTTTTTTTGCAGAAGAAAGAAAGAAGGGAGGGAGAAAATGAACATATGAATTACTCTTCAGGAAAACAGAATTAATCAGTGTGTGCGAGAGAGAAAAAGGATAGAAAATGTATCTCAGATAGGCTTAGAGAACGGGACTTTCTTGGAGGCACAGCAGAAATTCCGAGGAGATAGTCTCGGTTGGGGCCTGGTGATCCAGCGGTTCGCTCTCACCTCTGCTTCCTGCGCCTAGGCTAGCCTGGCTGCACTCCTTTCCTGATGGCAGGATGGCGGCTAGAGGTTCCAGACCTACATCCTCACATCTGCACAGACGAGAGGGAAGTTTCCTCTTGCACAGCCTCTGCCTAGGCCATGCCTCCTCCCTGAACAAAGTTGTGTTAACTTTACCCAAACCATGCAGGCTGAAAGCAGGGGAAAGGTGACCTCACAAAGGAAGGTCAAGGTTTTCCTATCAGAAAAACAAAACAAAAAACAATGTACTTCCCAAATGTCTGCTCCTCTTGGCTGCCCACCTCCGTTCACACCTTCCCCCACTCTGCCAGGTTTTAAATCTCACTGATAATCTTGACAGCCCCACCTCCTCCAGTGCCACCAGAAGGAGGCCTTCTAAGTCTCATCTACTTGCTGCATCCACCTCCCAGTTCAGCACATCTGGGCCAGGCAAAGTCTTTTGCAGGCTGCAATGAATCAGCGACCTGCCCTAAAAGATGTCTGCACACCCTGTGTAAGCAGCAGGCATGTGGGTGTGTGGAGAATGAGGAGCTGGATCGTGTGGTTTGAATGAGATGTCTGCACAGGCTTAGGCATTGAACTCTTGGACCTCAGCTGCTGGCACTGTTTTGGGGAGGGTGAGGAGGGTGGCCTTGCTGGAGGAAGTACATCTCTGGGGGCGGGCCTTGAGAGTGGAAAGGCCTCGACCATTTCCAGTTTTCTGTCTCTGCTTCAAGCTCATGGTTGAGGACGTGAGCTTTCAGCTTCCTGCTGCTGTGTCTGCTGCTTGCTGCCATGCCTCCCTGGTGGGCTGTCTGGACTCACACATCCAAATAAACTCTCCTTTATAAGGTGCCTTGGTCCTGGTGTTTTAAGACAGCAACAGAAAGCTGACAGAGGAGAGAACTTGCTTTAGCCACATTCCCCTGCACTGATTTACCTTTGAGCCTTCAAATAACAGCCAGGAGAGGGAAGCATTGG